TTCCGAAATAAATAAAACGGAAATAAGGCAAGTTCTTTCTGGGCGGCCCGGTACCAAATGCCCTGCGGACCGGTACCGGTCCGCGGACCGGCAGTTGGGGACCCCTGCTGTAAAGCGCTTTGTTACAGCTGCAGCGGTTGTGAAAGCGCTATCTCAATAAAGCTCTTATTGTATTGTATTCCTTTAGTGGAGCTCCATCTAGTGGAGGCATAATGCAATTGCAGCAACTATTGTAGCTTCTATTCTGTGCACCTTATAACGCGGTGCGCCCTATATATGAAAAAAAATTAAATTGGCCATTCATTGATGATGCGCCTTACACTCCAAAGTGCCTTATAGTGAAGAAAAGACGGTACTTCAAAAAACGGAAATATTTTATTTGACATCTAGTAATATATAGAACAAAATATTGTTTTGGAATGAAAATAGCTACAGGTGCACAAATCAGTGGACACTAAATAACTCCAAAATCATTAGTTTGAAACATCGATTTTATTTATTCAATATGTATTCATTCTGATATATTTTTAATATATGTGTAAAATATAGAAATCAGTTATCATTCCCAGATAGATAAAACAATGATTTACTTTTGAAAAGTACCAATTTTATTTAATTGTAAAGAAAATATTTTTTGAATAATAAAATAAAAATTTTACATCATGGGCTGTAATCATTTCATTCTGAAATGTACATAAAAGCGCGTAAATCAGAAGAATTAATACATCTTTTTTTTTTTTTTTTTTTTAGTTATTAGATGGTATAAAAAAATACGATAAATGTTGTTTTTGAAATCGTGTACATGAAATGAGTCCAGGAGAAAAAGGGAACCGCGGCTGACTTTGAATCCATGAAGAATACATGAAGAATAAATATTCTGTGTGCGTCTGAATTCAAAAGGAATCATTTCGAAGCATTCATTGCATGCCGATGCGAGCTTCACAGGCTCTAAGCCGGCTGGAGGGAGGCAATCATTCGCAGAGTTAAACAGGGTTAATGTCCAAGAAAATATCACACAATTCTCACCGCCTTAATTTGACGTTTCATCCCGACCAGCACCTTCAGGTTTTCTTCACTTCCGGAGCTCCCAAGGGTCTTGCCTGTCACATGCTTTCATTAAAATATCCGATTAATCGCGCAAATATCAGGATAATAATCAGTTGTCAAAATATTTATCAGTTGCCGCCGAAGTAGTGAGTCTTTATATGTGCAAAAACTGGTTTACAATTGCCGCCCAGAATCCGTTTGGAGGGGGCGGTTCTCTCTCATGCAAATGAGCCCCAGCCTTCTCCTCCCGAGTACAGCTTTGTGTTACTATGACAACAGGTGGGATCCAGTTACCTGCTAATGGCTACTTGTGCAAAAAAAAAAAAAATAGCATCTTTGGATCACATATAAACAGTGGGGGCACGGGGGGAATGGAGGCGGCACTAAGTCAACAAGCCACAAAATTCCGCTCAGTGTGCAGATCTGTGCATGTTGCGCATGCAGCAGACACATTGCCATCAACTTTGCGTCATTTTGGCTTTGACGAAACAACGTTGACATGAAGTCCTGTCGTCACTTGAAAATGGCGAATCTTCACCCAGCCTAGCCTCTGCGTCATCGGCGGAGAAATTTGGCGCTAACATGTAAATTAGCTGACTTTTGAGGTCACATTCGGGCAACATTAGGAATGGCTGGCTTACTGTTCTCAAACACCATCAAAGTTTCCATCCCTCATTTGATATTTAGAGGAAATGGTGGAGAAGTAATGCTTTCAAATTCTGTATTTTAAATGCGTTTTTTTTTTTTGGTCAATTCAGGTAGAACACTTATTGATGCAAATAAATTCACTCGGGGACCCATTTAGTGTTTGTGTTGCGCTTCCGTGCCGTACACACCATTTTCCACGCATTGGCCCGCCGCAGTGTGCACTGCTAATTACAAACAAAGTGTAAAGGTGATTTAGTACCCGAGTGTTTTCACCAAATGAACTGTGAAATGCTGAAATGCGCGCCTTGGCGAGCGAGCGCCTTCATTTGGCTTCCAGTTCCATAAACCGGCCAAGATAAAAGCCCCCTGACAAGCTGGCACACGGAGGTGACAAATGCTTGATCAAAAAAAAAAAAAAAAATCCCAATGTTTTATTTCCGAGCCTGACGTTATCGCGGCGGATGTTTAAGATGCGAAGCGTGGTCAAGCCGCAGATCCGATCTTAAAATGGCCTTTGAGAGGGACGCAAAAAGCTTTCATCAAACTCGAAAACCAAACAAGTAATTATGAATGAATGAAGTCGATAGATGAGGTGGGCCGGCTTTACACGGACGCCTATTAAGATTCTTTGATACATTTAAAAACCGAGCAAAGACCATCATTTGTTGGAGCTTGTGCATGTAAATAGCACAAGCGCACATTGAGAATGAAATTGAGAATGAACTATTTTGCATTCGTTCTAATTAGGGCCCGGCCAACATGAATTCCTTTATATATATATACACGATTCTTTGATACATTTAAAAACCGAGCAAAGACCAGCGTTTGTTGGAGCTTGTAAATAGCACAAGCGCACATTGAGAATGAACTATTTTGCATTCGTTCTAATTAGGGCCTGGCCAACATGAATTTATTGTATATATTTAGATACACATAAACACACACACACACAAATATTACAATTTAGGTCAGGGATTCTGCCCGAAAGGCCTGATGGTCCCCCACCAGCTGTGAGGGTGCTGACTCATCAAAGTATGTGTTGCGCATCACAACGCAGCCCGTCAAAAAGCGGCCGTGACCCCCGCGCCATTACAACTTGCCCGTAGCCTCTGATGCCTGTTTGCCATTGTTTTCCTCCCCGTGGCATTCGTTCTGTGTTCTTACTTCTCGCGGCAGATAATAAAACAGACGCCGCCTCGCCATTAGCGTCGCCGTCGCCTGTGAGAGCGAAAAAGCGGGTGAGCCGAGTCAATTAAAGTTAACACATCCACCTGCATAATTCAAGATGCCTTGCCGCACGTTCCGTTGGGGGTGGGGCGGGGGGATTTGTTGTTTTTAATCCTTCCCACTCACAGAACGTTCATATTGTTCACAACAGGGGGCGAGCGTGGCGTTCCAGCACGCGTTTGTACAGTGCGCGGTACAGTCACGTCGACGCGTCAGAAAGTATTAGCGTCAAAGCGATGCTACGAGGCGGACCATGAGCTGTGTGATTTCGAGCAAACTTAAATTGCGGGTCT